TCTAGAAACTTAGCCCAGTAGGAAAATGGCCGTACGTGTATCTAAAGTACTATCCCTGTTTGGTGCCCTCAGAGTCATACAGGGAATTGATTGTCTGTGATACAGTACTGTCTGTGTGAACAAGACCTCTGAACCTCACCTCTTCACATCCTAGTGAGAACAGCACAGCGTGAGAAGAAAAACCTCTGTACTCACAGTGATAGTTCTCATCTAAACCTGAAAAGCTATCAAGAGACATTAGCCCTGTGCATTCTTGGAAACTGGTTTTGTTCAGGAAATGTATTAAGTGCCTATTACACGTCAGGCTCTGGAACCCAGGTATTGTATAGTTTGCTAGAAGGGGCCCTTCTCCAGCCTGTTTGTTATTCCTGGGCTTGAATTCTAGTCTTTTTCTTGCCCTTGTGGACATGGAAGGGCAAGCGACAGACGTCTTCCCGCTCTGGCAAAGTTGGGACTTTCCTGTTAATGCTCTTTGCTCATTTCGGAAATGCCAAGAGGCCAGAGGCAAATTCCAGTCCCCATTTCTTTGCAGTACACTGCCATAAACTAGTGGTTCATTGCTATTTCCTTTGCCACCTGATAAGTATCAAGACTAAGAATCAGGCACAGTGTTCTTAAGGAAACTGAAGTAAAAACAGTGGACTGTCATTCATTCAGAAAATATTTATCCAAAAAGGCAAGGTGAGGATGATTCAAGTGGACCCAGTCCTTTGTTTATGTCAGTGGCATTTCGTCATGAAGCTAGTCCCTGTTAGGGAAAGAACCGTGGGGCTTTGGCATTCATCGATCACTAGCCTCTGCGTCCTGCATCCTGGCTGTCTCGGTGCTGGGGCTGAGTCTCTCTGGGCCTGTTTTCTCATCTGTAAAATGAGGCTAATAGCCCTCACTTGAAGGCTGGCTGAGAAGTTCAGTTAATTGCGCAGAGCACCTAGCACAGTGTTCTGCACACGACCGCTCCTAATGAATCACTATTATTTTCCGGTTTTGACTCAGTCAGACTCTAAACTTGGAGACACAGATGTATAGATTATTCTCAGGGCTTGGTTTCCTCTGGCTAGATTCTTTTTCTCAATTTAGCTTGCTAAGTGAGTGCCCCCAAAAGAAGATGGATGTTAGCATGCTGTTACTTTCTGCTCTCCAAGGACCTGCTGCTGAAAGGGCTCTAGTGACTCCTAATGAGTGACACATGTCTGACCGGGGACTGAGACATCTGGCAGGCCACTCAGAAGAATGGCATTTCCATCTTCCATTTGCCCAGGACTCTTCAGATACCTGATGTGGTGCTTGTTGTATCAGCAGTCTGGCCCAACTCTTGGCACGCACCACAGTCTGATTTGCTTACTAAGAAGGTTTAGAATTAGTTGCACAAGAATTCCTTACCTTATTTTGTAACACCCTCCAGAGCCTTCATTTATTTCAAGGGGGTATGTGACAGTCTGTAAATCAGAGTTTGTTTAAGAGAGAGAGAGAGAGAATGAATCCATGTCACTCAGTAAGGGGAGTTGACGCTGTTAAAGCTTACTCTCTGTTTCTGTATTTATAAGTTGAAGTGCTAAACTAGATCTCGACCCTTCAAGGTGAGGGGGCTATCTATGAGACGTCTCATTTTAAAGCCTTCCATCCGATGGCAGAATCTCCTTGACGGGTATGGCAGGTGGGTTGCGGCCTCTGCTTTGAATACTTACACAGCAGTTCCCATCCTTTTTAAACAGCTGGGGTTTTCTTGTTTTTTAACTTTCTGTTTATATTGGCCAAAATTGCCTTTCTGTGTATTCCTCTTCTCTTTCCCAGCATGACCCTTGGAAATCATGTAAACTCTGTTCTCTTTCCATGAGATCGTCCTATAGCTATTTGAAGTAGTTGTCATAGTGCCCAGTCTTCCCTTTCTCCAAAGTCCATGCTCATAAATACTGTTGATATATTTGCTCCAAAATAATTCAATCCCTGTATTTTGAAGCACACATAAGGAAAAAAATTATCTAAAATATGGGAAATTTCCTAAAACCACAGAAATATAACTGAGATTTTGGCCTTTGTTAAAACACCATCTAAAGAGGGGGGTAGCCCTAACCGGTTTGGCTCAGTGGATAGAGCGTCAGCCTGTGGACTGAAGGGTCCCAGGTTCGATTCCGGTCAAGGGCATGTACCTTGGTTGTGGGCACATCCCCAGTCGGGGGCGTGCAGGAGGCAGCTGAATCGATGTTTCTCTCTCATCGATGTTTCTAACTCTCTATCCCTCTCCCTTCCTCTCTGTAAAAAATAAATAAAATATATTTTAAAAAATAATAAAAATAAAAATAAAGAGGCGGGTAACAAAATAGGATCAAGGTAAATGGACCCAGGTGTATCTTCAGTGATTCAGTTCATTTCCAAGTTAATAAGACCAATTTAGAAGGGCAGGTTACTTACAAATTTGTACAACCTGTAAACTTAAAAGTAGGGGTCTCTACATAAAAGCCACTAAACTAGCTTCTAGGTCTGAGTCAACTGTTCCCTTTCCTTATCCTGCCCATTCTCATTCCTTCTGATACCCTTTATAGAGAAAACAGATCACTTCCTGTTTAGTCTGAGATTCTTTGAGGACTTCCTGTGCAAACAAGTGGCAAGAAAAAAGAACAGCAGCGGATAAAATATATATGAAAGAAGGAACAAGCCCATTTCTAGGCTGCAGGCTGACATTACCTGAAGTGACAACCCAAAGGGAAAGACAGTCCAGTCTCTATTTCATACAACCTGCCATCAGCTAACTGATTCAGTATGGAGGAATGTGAATGGATCCTTAGGACCCAGAGAAGAGCCACACACTCCACAAGCCTGGCCCTGGCCCACTGCAGTATGCCCATTCCTTGGGAGACCAGTGACATAGCGTCTCAGGTTGTGGGGAGTAGCTGCCGATAGCTCCCCGTATAGACTGCCAAGGCAAGCAGGCTCTGACTTCACACTTTTTACAAAGAAATAAGGAAAAACAAATAAATGATTTATGATGTATCTTTACATGAAAGAACCAATCTAGACTGTCTCCCTAGCATCCTCTACTTATGTGAAGTGCAACATAAAGAATTTAAGCTTTTGCCCTAGCAGGTTTGGCTCAGTGGATAGAGCGTCGGCCTGCGGACTCAAGGGTCCCGGGTTCGATTCCGGTCAGGAGCATGTACCTTGGTTGCGGGCGCATCCCCAGTGGGGAGTGTACAGGAGGCAGCTGGTCGATGTTTCTCTCTCATCGATGTTTCTAGCTCTCTGTCCCTCTCTCTGTAAAAAATCAATAAAATCTTTAAAAAAAAAAAAGAATTTAAGCTTTAGAATCTAATAGACCTAGGTTTGAACCCTGACAGATAAGTTCTGTGACTTTGGTTAAGTGACTTAGCATCTCAGGGACAGCAACCTGCTCACAAGATGGACGTGAGGGTGAAATGATATGATGGAAGGGAAGTGGCTCAGCACCCAGTATACAGTAGTCGCCCAACAGTGTGAGTTCTTACTAAAGGGAAGACGGGCTGAGAGCTTCTATCTTTATACATGTTTGAAGCCAGATCACAAGGAATCAAACAATATTCTCTCCATTCTGTTTAGCCTATTAACTCTAGAATCTGAATATACAAAGAAGACTCTGGATTTCGGTAATTCTTTTTACCAATCTCAATTTGGCAGAATTTGGCTGTCAAAACTAATAGCAGCACTGTTCTTCAATAAAACTGAGACTTCCAAATTAGTTGGTCTTAAGGAATTTTAAAAATGGAACTTTTAAGCTGCAAGGAAGCTATTTCTAATCACCATAAAGCCTTCTAACCATAGTACTAGTACATAGACAATAAATTTTAATCTTATACTCCCCTCTCCCCCAATATTAGAACAAGATGAAGAGGTGTCTTCTAACAATCTAAGTTAGCTAGAAAATTGAGCCTCCATCAATTAAATACTTACTATGCAGCAGACACACGCTTAAGTGCTTTATATGAATTATTTCACTCCAGACTCACAGCAGATCTGTGGGTTTGGGTGTTAGGAACCCCATTCTACAGATGAAGCTGAGTCCTAGAAAAATTCAGTTACCTACCCAAGTCTGGCTAATTGCAAAACCTGTGCTCTTGACCAATGGGTTCATTGTGTTTTTTCAAAAGTTCTTGGGCTAGGCAGACGATGACTGTATGGTTGGATAAATGATTAAAGATACACTACAATCTGGGTAACTCCTAACAGTAATAACTACTGACAGGATCTTTGGAGACACACCCTCCTGTGTTCGAATCCTAGCACTGTCGCTTACTAGTTGTGTCATTTAGGTATGTGACATTTTTCCTTGGTAAAATGGAATATCGTGAGGTTTAAAAGGAATAATATTTGGGACTTGCTTAGTACATAGTAAGCTCTCAAGTAGTTGCAGCTGCTACTCCTACTATGTGAGGAAGGTGACTGCTGAGAAAGAAAAGACGGAGTTATCTTTGATGAGTTAGTTTTGCCCTTTTCAAATGCAGAAGCCATTGATACCAGGTGATGTATCTAAGGGAATTCTCACTGGGGGCTTTCAGCCTTAGCAGAATACATGGTCTATCTCTGTTCTGGAAAGAGTAAGTTATTAGTTTTTAATTCCATCTTTTATCTTTTTAAGAGTTTAGTCATCTTTGAGTGTATAACATCTATTGCCATTCGGGATGTTTGGAAAACTTCCTGTTTATGCCAGTGCACCCCTGATAAAGGCTGTGGATAGTCATTTCATTGTTATTAAATAAACATGGCCTGCTTCTTATAAACACCTTTGTTCTGACACTGCAGTCTCTTGCTCAAGGTGTGATTATGAGGGAGCTTGCTGGCAGCTTGTGTGATACTTGGAGGCTAGAAAATGCAAACTTAGTGAGATGAACAAGTGGCTCTCTCTATCCTGCTTGGAACCTTTCCAGCAGTTTCCGCACCACTGTGAGTTCTCCCCGGGAAGCCTTCCTGATGTGTAGGTGCATGATGAGACTCACTTTATTTTTCTGCTTTCTTTTCTCTTTCTTGGACAGAAACCAAAGCCTAAACCCCGGCCATCCATCACAAAGGCAACCTGGGAGAGTAACTATTTTGGGGTCCCCTTAACAACCGTCGTGACTCCCGAGAAGCCAATTCCTGTTTTTATTGAGAGATGCATTGAGTACATTGAAGCCACAGGTAAGTGTGTTACCTCAGAGCCAATTACAGTTTTCACTGTCTACACAGCATGCTTTCCAGAGGCTAAGCCCTCTAGAGATTCTGGAATCAGCTCTCGCTTAGTGTGAGTTGCGTTCTAAGAAGGAGCTGAGCAGTCCCGACAGCTGTCGGGTTCCTCCCTCCATCTCCATAGTTGTGAGGCTGTGGTGCCAGATCCAGTAGAGCTTTCAGAACACGGGAGCTGTCCTGTTCTCAAGGCTGCAGTTGTGGCCCATCTAGGTGTCTTCTCTGTGTCCCCCCAGCTCCCTGTCATAGCATGCAGCCTGCCTGCCTGTCAGCTTCTTGAGGGCAGGGAAAGGGTCTTATTTCTCATTGTGTCCTCAGTACTAGACTAGACACAAATGGTAATACATTTTGGTTTAATAAAATGAATGACTAGTTGTAACTGTTATAGTGTCTGAGATTCATGTTTTGAGAGATTTAAAAAAAAAATTTTTTTTTTAATGGAGATTAAAAAAACCCAGCTTGGGTATCTTCTATCAAGCAACTACATTTCAACTCCACTGACAACTTGGTGTTATGTGAAAGCCAACTGTCTTAAATTTTTTCTTCTTTGTTCTTGAAATGACACAATTTTACCTGTGTTAAAACATACATTTCATTCACTTAGAATTCCTACAACATGTCTTTTGGCCTCTCTTTTGAAACCCCTGGAACTTCTAGTTTCATGCTGTTTCCCTTGTTCTTCTCCTGGATGCTTTCAAAGCTGATGAGCTTTGGGGAGAAGGAGGTACAGTGGGCACAGGATTACATGAATTCTTGAGCATTAGTAGTTGAGCTCAAGAATATAGGCTTAAACTGATTTGAAACCAAGGTGAGGATTATGGCCTCCCTCTGTGTTCTTCCTGATTCCGGTGTTATCTGTAGTGATATTAAGTATTGTGTGGTGTGGACACGCTGCCAGGCTCTGCTGATAATTTAAGCAGCATCATATTAAGTTGGATGACTGGTTTTAATATTTCCTCAGGATGTGCAGAATCAGGGAATGTAGGTTTCAAATGGAAGCCCGCTAAAGACTTTGTCATTATTTCCAGGGTTTTCTCTGCAGCACACCAGGCTTAGCGTTGAAACAGCAAGCACTTTGCATAATCACAGCAGACCTGCAGCTTTGTTTAGTCCATTCTGTAACCAAGGCTTTTTCTGAGTGTCCATGGTTTTGTTTTTGTTTTTTAATCCTCACTAGGGAATATGTTTATAGGTTTTAGAGAGAGGGAGGGAGAGAGAAACATCAATGTGATAAACATTGATCGGTTGCCTCCTGTACTGGCCCTGACTGGGGATCAAACCACAACCCAGGTGTGTGCCATGGTGGGTAATCAAAGCCCCGACTTTCCAGTTCATGGAACAAGGCTCCAACCAACTGAGCCACACTGGCCAGGGCTAGACACTGGTTTTGTATCTGTTTCTTCCTGGCACCTCTCCCTTGGGCCAGGAGGAAATCTACACAAAGCAATTGGGTGATTAAATTCTCTCTAGTTACACCAATGTTTCAGCGAGATAGTTGTGGCATTGGAAGGAGGGGGTGGGCTCTTTTTCCCTTTATTTTTTAACTTATTTCAGATTTATAGGAAAATCATAAGTTGTAACAACTTGAAAGTAACAAAAAATTCCATAAATGTTAACATTATACCGTATTCTCTGTATCATTCTTTCTCTACATATTTGTATCTTTTTTCCTGAAATATTTGTTACAGATATGATGCAGCTTTACTCCTAAATACTCCAGTGGATATTTCCTAAAAAACATTCTCTTACATCACCATATAATTTTAAAAACTAGGACATTAACACTGATGCAGTACTAACCTATATAATCTATAGACATTTTCATTTCATTAGTTCCATTAAAATGTCCTGTGTAATAAAAGATAATTTTTTTGTGAGAGATTACATACAATTGTCAGGTCTCTTAAGTCTTCTTTAATCTAAAACTATTTAGTCTATCTGTTTGTAATGGCCTTGATAGTTTTTTAAAGAGTACAGATCAGTTATTTTGTAGGATGTTCCTCAACGTGGCTATTTTTTAGTTTTGTTTTGTTGATGTTTCCTCATGATTAGGTTCAGGAGTGTGCTTTTGGCAGAAATAGCAGGGAAGCAATGCTGTGGCCTCACTGCCTCACCCCAGGTGGCATGTGATGCCAGTTTGCCCCATCACTGGAGATGTCTTGATCCCTTGATTGACGTGGTGGTGCCTGCCAGGCTTCTCCACTGTAAAGCTACTCTTTGCCCCTTTGTAATGAGTAAGGATTTTGTAGGGAGGTGATTTGAGACTCTAATGTCTGGTTTCTCCTAACACTTTCGCCCACTAGTTTTAGTATCCATTGATGGTTCTTGCCTGAGACCCTGCTCGCCATAGTTCTAACTCTAATTCCTTCTGCACTTACTAGTTTGGATTTTCCTGTCTGGGAGAGCTTCCCCTTCTCAGGAGGAGCCTTTTGTGAGTGGCCTCCTCCAGCGGCTCCCCTGTGGTAGTGCCAGGTGCTTGAATGTTGTCCGCATGCCCTCTAGCTTTTCTTTACACCCAGTGACAAAATTATACCTCTCCTTGCTCTTCTACTTGTGAAACCTTTCAGATATGAAGACCTCCTCCACCCGGCCACAGTCTGCCACCAAGCTGCTGCTTCTCTGAGAGCTAGACTGCACCACTGTCCCCTCTCACCAAAAAGCTCGGAGCTTCAGGGACATCTCTGACTTAGCTAATCAGTTCCCAAGTCCATCGCTTCTACTTGGTCATCTCTTAGCTCTGTCCCCTCCACTTGAGTTCCACTGCCCCACCATCACACCCCTTCTCAGTCCATCCTGAGTATGTGACAGTTCTACTGAAAACCTCTTCCTGGTTCCTCGTTGCCTGCCAGCTGCCGGCCACACTCTTGACTCCTTCCTCTCATACCCAGTGCTATCATGCTGTCATTGCCTGCCTGCCTTCACGCCCTCTTCTCCTCTCCCCTCCCTTTATCCTTCCTTTTCTCTCTTCTGCTCCCACCCCCTTCTTTCTGTTTTATACTACAGTGGGCATTGATTTTAGAATTGCTTTACATGAATACAAACTATTTTAGAAGAACATGGACCAAGCAGACTTTCTTTGTATTGCTCTGCTTTGCATATGCCCTCCGTATGTCTGAAATGTCCCACATTCCTCCTGCCTCTGAAACTTGCCCTCACTCTTCCAGACTCCCCCACCCCAGCAGCACTTTGATGTCATCTTCCTGGTAGTTCTTCTCAGGCACAGTTCCACTTCCTGAGAACAGGAGTCTCTGTACTCCTGTCTCCCTAGAATTTGGCACCCAGTATATACTCATTGTTGATTGAGTGAGTGGGTTTTAATCTGGGATATCTGAATTCTGTTGTTTTCTTCTTTGTCTTTTTTAGTTTTGGTCATATAATTCCCTTCATTGGTATTAGTTTGTACTTTTGTAGAATTTTTTTTTAAAAATATATTTTATTGATTTTTTACAGAGAGGAGGGGGAGAGGGATAGAGAGCTAGAAACATCGATGAGAGAGAAACATCAACCAGCTGCCTCCTGCACACTCCCCACTGGGGATGTGCCCCGCAATCAAGGCACATGCCCCCGACCGGAATCGAACCCGGGACCCCCCAGTCCGCAGGCGGACGCTCCATCCACCGAGCCAAACCGGTTTGGCTTTTAATATATTTTTTATTGATTTCAGAGAGGAAGGGAGAGGGGGAGAGAGATAGAAACATCAATGATGAGAGAGAATCATTGATCAGCTGCTTTCTGCACACCACCTACTGGGGATCAAGCCCGCAACCCCAGGCATGTGCCCTTGACTGGAGTCGAGCCCAGGACCCTTCAGTCCATAGGCCGATGCTCTATCCACTGAGCCAAACCAGCTAGGGCAATTCAATATTATCCTATCTAATAATAGACAAAAATGGTAATTGAACATACCTCCGCTACGCCTCACATTGGCTAATCAGCGTGATATGCAAATTAACTACCAACAAAGATGGTGGCTAATTTGCATACTGCAGGCAGATACCACTGCGTCGCCCTGCTTGGGGCTGGCGGCAGCCTGATACCCAGCCACTGGCTGCCCCAGCGCGAGATCCTGGCCTGCCATGTGCGGGGCGGGATCCCGAGCCGCCGCCTGCCCCAGCGCGGGATCCGGGCCTGCCATCTGCAACCGGGGTAGAAGGGGCAGACACCTCGGGATTGGGCGTCCCTTCTCCCCCCAGGGGAGCGGGCTTAAGCCAGCAGGTGGTTTTCTCCCGATGGGTCCCAGACTGTGAGAGGGCACAGGTTGGGCTGAGAGACCCCCCCCCCCCCCCGCCAGTGCACAAATTTTTATGCACGGGGCTTCTAGTCTATATAATAAAAGCCTAAACGACCAGTTTCTATGGTGGTCAGTGCACTCCCACGGGGGGAGCACCACTCAGCCAGAAGCTGGGCTCATGGCTGGCGAGCGCAGCGGAGGTGGCAGGAGCCTCTCCCATCTCTGTGGCAGTGCTAAGAGCAGCAAGCCAAGCGGTAAAGAGCAGCGAGCAGGCAGGCGGTAAGGAGCGAGGGATCCTGGATTGCGAGAGGGATGTCCGACTGCCAGCTATGCCCCGAGAGGTCCTGGACTGTGAGAGGGCACAGGCTGGGCTGAGGGACCCACTCCCACTCCCCCGCCCCCCAATGCACAAATTTTGTGTACCAGGCCTCTAGTTTTATATAAATAGTGTGTGTTTAAATTTACTCATTTGTCTTAAAACTGAATTTTTTGTTCTAGGAGCCAATCAATATTCACAGTGTGTTTGGCTATTGCTTCCTCATCTCTTATAGTCCAGAGCAGTTCTGCCTGCCCTTTTTAAAATTAAAAAAAAAAATTATAAGAGTCTAGACAGTTGTCTTATAAAATGTCCCTTTGTGTGGTATGATTGTCTATGCCTCTCCATCAACCACAGCCCCTTCTGACACCACCCATAGCCACTTCATCAGGTGGCTCCTGTCTGAGA